AAGAAAAAAACTGAAAAAAACCGGTTAGGATCACGGCTTTAGGATCAAATCAAGTCAAAAAGTCCTGTACCACTTTTCCCTCTGACAAACAATTATCGAGATATCATAAGCTAAATATTGAAAAAATTACCAACTTTTCCTTGAATATCTCAAAAAGTATTAGGCAAATAAAAAAGTTTCAGACAAAAGATGTTTGAATTAATTAATAGAAACTGATACAATAAAAAATGGATGCTTTATTTAAAAAATTTGACTTGGGCCCAGTAGGGCTCAGCACGAACCCCGGACCCAAAATCTAATAAGATCGTCTATTAGCCCTCTTTGAACCCTCCACTGTTATCTGAAACATTTTTCTTTAAAATGTATTGTTCAAGAGATATTCGAGGTAGGCAGTGTGGGCACTTAAAATGGTTCACCCTGTATATTTATGTCTTCGAACACGAAGGACCAACAGAAAAGGAAATAGCAAACAAGTAGGTAGAAAAGTCTATGGTTTCACGACAAAGATGTTTATTCGGTATTACTGTACAGTTTTTCTTCTTTTCTCGTCGAGAATTACTTCCATAACGTGCGTACACGGCAGCACAATGAATTCTTTGGATGACAAAAAGATCATCAAAAAATGTACTGTCACATAGGACACTCTAACAGAGTACATACGTGCGTGTATGCGGGTGACTGTGTCGCTTTTTTTCGTAATTTTAACTTTCAATTTCTTATTCATTCATTACAATGAAATCCATTATTTCTTAACAATGTGAGTTATACGCTACATGAGACAGTAGGCCATGAAATAATTATAAACAAGCTGAAGGCTTAGACAGAGTCACAGACGATCCGCACAATGACGTGTTACAGTTTCAATCATTTCATGTTCATTGTCGCGCCGTCGCGCCCTGCCAAACCATAAAAAATCCGAGCTTCTCTAATGATTTCATGGCATCCCGCGCAACCAGACAGTCGCCGCCTTTCCCACATAGAGCCAGACGACGTTGCCTTGGCAGTGACGCACTAAAAACTATATCAGCAGTATCTTATGCGGATATCGTAACTTAAAAGGCGAATAGGAGCAGGAAAGCCATCATAAGACAAAATAGACCCATGGCCTCAGACAAGGCAAAGCCTAAGATGGCATACGAGAATAGTTGTTGCTTCAAGGAAGGATTCCTGGCGTAGCCAATGATCAGTGAACCGAATACGGATCCAATTCCAGCACCTGGAATACCAATTCATCGACTATTACAGAACGGATACTGTCTCTTATATAAAGTGAACATTTTATTAAGAGTACCGGTGATTGTGCCAAATATATACTGTGTATACAATGTATTATATAATAATCTACACGTATTTTACTTAATAAAATATTAGAACGTAAATCGAATAGTTAAATGTTTTCTTAAGAATCACATGTAGAGGGTAAAATTGTATCTTGTAGTCAATATCACTTCCATGAGAAGAGATGTGTTCCAGGGAGTTGGATTCAAAAGGCAAATAGTATAAGGAACGCTATCATCAGACAAAAGAGGCCCATTGCTTCAGATAACGCAAAACCAAGGATAGCGTAGTTGAAAACTTGCTGTTTCAGGGAGGGATTACGTGCGTAACCAATTATTAAGGATCCAAAAACCAAACCAATACCAACTCCTATAATACATAATTTCTTCAAATAACAAATTAAAATGTGATGACATACATGATTTAATAAATTTATATTTTATTAGTTCTGCAAAACTTGTTTATGCTCCATTTAAAAAAAAGACAATCTATAACATTTCTATAACAGCTTGATCATCCTAGTATAAATAGTAAAAATATATATAAAATAATAAATTTCAATATATTGCAAATCATAAAGAAATGTATAAAATGTAACATTAACAATGATGTAATCAATTTTTAATCCCGTCATTTGAAAGAGAATTATTTTAATTCTAGGATTCTTATAAACTCTTACAAGTAATCAAATCATGTTATTGAAAACATGTGTAAATAAAATTAGTAAAAAAAATTAGTAAATACAGAATTATATTACATGCTGGAGATTTTTACAACCAATTCAAATTATTCATTAAATATGCGTCTTTTTGTTGCGAATCCAGTAAGTGAGAAAATTCCACCGTGCACATTCTTGCGAGTCTAAACCCAGCACACATAAATCAAATAATTTTTACTCTATATTCTTTAGTTTACGTTTAAAACTCTTTAGTTACATTTTAAAGTTTTTCTTCCAACCGTTTTCCTTCTTTTAAATTTTATATGCTAAACTATAAAATTTTTTATCACTGACATAGTCAGTGACGCGCAGAGAATAGATTAACAGATTTATTATTGTACAAATTCTATCATTACTATATGTTTTACTATCCAGTTTTTTATGCTGTCATTGCAAAATGTTCTTTTATAATTAATAAATATATACTTTTGCAGATACATACCAGATCCTGCTACCCCTACGGTAGCAGCACCAGCACCAATAAACTTCGCAGCGGAATCGATGTCACGACTGATTGTGGAAGTTTGGAAGCTACGCACAATAGGTGACTGCACCAAAATATCATGTGAGTTAGATATTATCAATATCAATTTGTTACTTTTGAATATACATACATACATACATACATATATATATATATATATATATATATATTTGTAATAAAATGATTTTTTTTAAAGTTTGTTTTATAATTTTATATTTAAATTTTTAGAAGCGTACATAAAAAAATTTGTTTAATACACAATGTAGTCTTCACCTTTTAACCAATCCTACCAACTAATAATAATTAATATAGAATATAATTAAAATACTTAATGATCAAATGATTTATTAATAGTAAATTGAAATATTTTAACAGACTGTCTCGAATACACATATCGCAAAATATCTAACAATTATAACTTACAAAATATTCAAATACTATCAATTTTTTTCATACATTGATATCTAATTGACATCTAATTTTACCTAATATCTAATTAAAGCGTTCACGCTTAATCACAATAATACATAATTATTGTGCAACCTTATTGATTGACTTTGACTGTTAAGACAAGCAATAGTGATTTATATTCTTTCTCGTTAATAATAAAATACAAAATTTTGAAATTACTAACATTACAAAGCTCAAAATTTTTATTTCAAATGGTGACACTGGTCACTTATGTAACCTTGATCTCGAAAAGTTATGCAATGTACAGAGAGAAAAAAAGGCACTCACCAAACTGACGGGCGTCTGAATTTGATTCTGCTGTAAGTACTGGCTATGGCTGATTGCTGCACTGCTCAGCGGCCGCAGATAGGTCTTGGTGCCAGAGACCAGCTGTACCAGGGCAAAAAAAATGCAAGTATGAGAAAAGATGTGCAAGCACAGCGGAGGTTATTATATAATACACGCGCACGCAGATACTCTCGTCGCCAAATTGCTTACAGCTGAAATCTTATTTTACTCCTCATTTTCTTTTTACTCACGGTGGATTTAGCGATGGGCGCAATGAATCGGCTGCAGGCGTACATGATGACGTTTGCTGTGATGCGGTGTCTCGCAGGACGCTACGCAAGGTACCTGGAAAACGAAAATACACACGGTTACGGAAACCAGCAGCACGACCTTCGAGTGTCATGAAGTTAGTCGCGGACGAGATGATCGCGCGCGCCGTACAATCGTGAACTTGTCCGCTGTCGAGCGGAATATTACGTAACGCCTCCGCGCAGTTGCAGCCGACAGATCGTGAGTGAGCGAGTTTTTGGAGTCGGGACTCGTCTCGGGCCAATCTTGGATCAGCTTTGGACAGACACGCGGAATGCCATATGTCGATAAATCTTGGCGGCGACGGCGACAACGACGAATGATGACGACAATTGCCGGGCGGCAAAACCGCACACGGCAGAAAATGGCCGCTCTCTCTTGGTCCATACAATTGACCGAAATAAAACACGATTGATTGAACGTACATCGGATTAACTAGATTTTTCCATAAATATCACAATAACATGCACAAGACGCGAAGTTTTTCTCTCACGAGTCACGCGACTCAGCGTTAATAACGGATAGACCGCAGATCGTGAGGCGATTCTTACTCACTTGCCAGGTAGCAGGCGACCGCACTTACCAAGAAGCAGTGTCGAAGAGAAGAGACGATGAGAGACGAGTAGTCACTAGTCAGTAGATGGATCCGGCCCTTGGAATGTTGAGTCGAGTATGAGTGGAAGCGAGCGTGTGCAAAATGCCTGCAGGAGGGGACTGACTAATCTCGACTTCCGTGCGATGACCTATTCGCTGCTTCCGTGTGCACCCCGACCACGTTTATCGACCAACCGAATTCAACCGAGCGACCTCTCGTCCACCGTAAGCGGATCGGTGCAACTGCAAGCTTCGAAGTGCGCTTTAGATATCGAACCGATCGAACGGCGTATGATCGACTCTCATAATTCTGCCTTTAAAATCATGATTGGTTCTCATAACATTAGAGTTAGCGTCGCATCAAGAAAATAGAAGAAATACAGGTGAGTTTACAAGTCGTCCTTTAATCTCTCTTTTGACTCTACGTCCGTTGCGGTACAGCGTGAAGTCGTCAAGACGTGGGATTCTGTTCATTTTAGCTGAACTTCTTGCACGGTTCATCTTTTCTTTTTTTCTCTCCAATGTGGAAAGGAAAAGAAGAAAGATGAATTGTGCAAGAAGCTTAGCTAAAATGAACATGCCTATTTGGGTGCTTTCCATTATAGTATACGTGAGCGTTACTTCTAGCACCGACGAGATACTATTAAAGACCGACAACCCTGGGTAAATTTTCGTGACTGCCCGGGGGCCCGGTGGTAATAATTGAATAATACTGACATTATCGACTGTTTTGGCTATTTGACTATTCCAAAGAAGGAAGTTTTACCTTATATAATCACTGTTTTATCATCAGAAATGTACAAAT